AAGCAGTGGTATCAACGCAGAGTACTGGTAAAACAAAGAACGAAAAACAATAAAATGAAAACGAAAAGGGGCTAGGAGCCCAATAGTGGTCAACAGATTGATGGAATTTCCTGCTCTTCTGCACTGTTTTTGCTCTCCTTCAAGAAGAGCCTGCGAAAACATTGCAACGGCCTCCTGGAAATAAATGGAGTACTTTATGTAAGAATAAAACGAAAAGACATTAACGAGCGGAACAACACGCATAATCGGACACACAAAGCAGAACAGCGCCTATTCCTCAACCCCGCTTTGCGCTCGGAGTTCCACTCATTAAAAGGAAAAACGGGGTGGAGGAATAAGGCCCGAAATGAGAGACACCTAGAAGAAAATCCGTCACAAACGGTCAAAATACTCCAACTGCGCATGCAGCACACTTCCGGCGCAGTTCGAGCACAGTTCGAGCGCTGTGCTGGAACTGTGCCGCTTTGTGCGGCTCAGTATGAACCCTGCCTCAGAAACCTTGCTTGCTTGCTTTTCTAAGTCAGAGTGAATAGTTACTGAGCTATCAAATGGTGCATGAATCGCGCTCCAGTCTATAAAATTCGCCGAGTTACGAGCCTACGAAAACACGTCCTCATGAAATTTGCACAAAATGTAAAGATCGCGTACTTTGTTGAAATTCCACCGTGAGTGGTTTTATGAAACGCGGGCGGGGTAGACATAACATTTGCAATTAGTCATGCAACTACTCACGACGGAATTTCAACAAAGTACGCGATCTTTACATTTTGTGCAAATTTCATGAGGACGTGTTTTCGTAGGCTCTTAACTCGGCGAATTTTATAGACTGGAGCCCGATTCATGCACCATTCGATAGCTCAGTTCCTATTCACTTTGACTTAGAAAAGCAAGCAAGCAAGGTTTCTGAGAGATACGCGAGAAGTGCGGGCAAAGTTACGCACTTTCGTGGTGCAGTTACAGTTACCTCACCGTATCTCTCCAAAAAGACACTGTAATCCTCAAAGACCACGATTTTCGTAAAGAGCGTGTTCGAAAACCTCTGTAAGCGAAGTTTCCTTACAATTCAAGAGCATCAACATTTTGACCAAAATCCATCGGCGAGCTTCCAGAGCGTAAAACGAGAAAAAATGAAATAACCCGGACATCTCGGAAAACTTGCTCATGGAGGTTATCCGACCTGCTGATTACGATAATCACATCTGCTTAGCAAGATAGCTTCGTATCCTGCGGATATGGCGAGTAGAATTTGGGACGACAAGATTTTTCCACAATTCACCAGCCGTTCTATTCCCTTTGAAAAGAAACCTGCGGCTACTATTTAGCACATTATAATCTACAGAAAAAGTGCTGTCGAATCATCCTTGCTGGAATGTACTGGGGACAATACTCGCTGCTTTACACCTTCGCGAAAAGACGTCCTCAGAAAGATTCAAGAATACTGAAATCGAAATATCAAGGACATGCTGTAAACCAAAAGATTCGCCTTGATGAGCTGAGCACAGCACCGTTTTCGGATTCAGAATATACTTATCCCGGAGGAAGTTATGGCGAGTAGAATTTAAAGGCGCGTGATTTCTGCAGAATTCACCATCTCTTTTCGCGCTTTATAAAGCATGTTTCCGTCTACTTTTCACCGCTGGATTATCTACGGAAACAACTCTTTCCGATTCGCCTTACCGGAATCTTTTAAGTGTGAAAGGGGCTGGCCCACAGCGTTGCAAAGAGGCGTCTGCAGAAAAAAGTGAAGTTTTGCTGGAAGCAGAATATCACAGAGTCATGCGGTGTGTCACTTTGCTCACATAAGCAACAAGACATGCTGATTACAAAGATTATAACCGTTTTGCTAATCGTAATGTTACTGTATAGTTATGTTTGTTTGACGGTAAGTGGTTCATGCATATTTACTAGGTTCACGTACTCCTTTCTCTTTTTTCCACTATAAAAAAGATATAGTTTTCTGCTGGAAACATTCTGCAGAAACTTTTCCATCAAACGCTCTTTATCTTAAACCTTTGCCTACATTATGCGCCGAAATACACACTCTAGAAGACACCACCACAGGATGCAACGGATTCCTACCATGCACTAACCGTGACCGAGCCGATTACAGCAGTTCAATATACGAAAAGATTCGTCTCGGCGAGCTGAATCCAAATCTGCCTTCAAATTTGAAATCCATTGAAAACGAAGGGAGTTATGACGAAAAGACGCAAAGTCGGCGACATCGGCGAATTCGGCGACATCGGCGAATTTGGCGAATTCGGCGAATTTGGCGAATTCGCCGAAATTTTTCACATTCCACTGTCACAACTGTATTAGATGCTGCCCAAAAGAGCCTCGATAGGCTTTTATCACATTGAAGGATAACTAGTTACATGTTGTTATGTACATAAGATCTGTTTTAGTTTCTTCGTTTTTCTCTGATCGTCTGTACGGACATAAGTTGCTGTCATCAAGGCAATTTTTAAACGGCACATTGACCTCCATTTTATCATCTTTTCGAAAATTCTCTCATTCTTATTTTCAATAATTTTGGATTCTAAAGAGACTTTCGGGAGTAACAGAAGAATATGGGGGCAGTTCGGAGGTTTAAGCTCTCTAAAAAAATCTGACAGACTTAGTTCGAAAAAAAAGATTCCAGCAAAACCCGGAAATTGGATTTATGTGTGACATGTTTATGCCAAAATCCACAACATTCCACTCAACTCGGAAATGAGGGAATTTTCTGAGGTTTCGAAATTTCTTCATTGTGTTGCAGAACTTTTGTAACAACCTAATATAGCATAGAGCCGATGCATACTTTTCATCACTAATCTTAAAGTTAATTGCTCTCAAGACGCTCTTAGCAATTTCTCCGCCTTCTCAATATATCTGCGCTTCCCCAACGCTTCCAAAAATTCATAAGATTTAGAATTATCGCAAGACTGCACTGACACGAACAAAAACGCGAAAACTGTAACTTGTTTGTATCTATTCGTATTCTCAGGCAGATATACGAGTACCAAACGAAATGGTTCGCCTCAGATTAAGGAGTAAAGCCGACTTACGAGACCAGAAGGCAAAACCGTCACAAGTGAGTCTATTTTATGCACGCAGCATGTTAATGTTTTTTTTGTGTCAGTTCGAGTACATCTACCAAAAGTGCAGCGCAAAGAGTACGACTGCCAAGATCCTAGACATCACTGTTCAATATCGATTTGATCGGAGATCAAGCTATTCTATAATCTACCCGCCTATGATAAGACCTGGTGGTGGTCGTTGTTCTAGTCGTAGAAATTTGTTTGCTTATTGCCGATGTCTATACAAGGAAAAAACTAAGCTTTGATAATTAATTTATAATGTTTTAGAGTTAACTAGGTAATTAAAATTTGTGTTTGCACTTTGTATGTGGCCTTTTTTCTTCTTTTTTTTTGCTGTCATCACTTTCACACTTGCGTTAGGTGAGACGCACAGTTTGTGGACATCTGCCACAAAACGTGCATCTTACTGCACAGTCCGTATGGGCGCAGGCGGCGAAATAACTTGTCTTTCCTTCCATATCAACTTTTCATTGATAATTAAATTCTTATTAAATCACTCATTTTTGAAGTGTATTGCACACTATGCGTTCTTGTTCTTTTTTTTTTGTTTTTCAGAAATCTATGTGATAAATAAATTTATTTAGAATCAAAGGCACAACCACTGAACCCGTCGTCAATCACATATTGCTTACATAAATCAATCGATAGCCTATTGCTACAACGATAATTTAGCCATAACTTCTCTGTATTTTTGCGTCAGCCTGTCTCCGTAATCTCTCACAATACGCATGTCTTCCTGGCTTCCGCCTTTCATTTTGAAATGGTAAAGACGTATTACATTCTCGTCTCCATTGGTAGCGTTGTAGTGGTCCTGTATCACACGACTGGTGTGGTGAATTCCCTGTAATGGACAATGTTGACTTCCTTTCCAGGGTAATTAAGGTCGTCTCAATGAGAGTGACAGAGCCAGCGCCTTGCGTTCTCGCGGACGCTTCGCTCAGGCCTTGCGCTACGTTCGTTGACACACTCTTTTGGCACTGAGCAGCGACTGAAGGCTGGGAAAATGGCCAGAAAGTAAGTCCGCGAACCAGGTGAATGCCTCCATGCCGCTGGAGCCATGACACTCGCGTAAAAGAACTTATCGCAAATCGTTACTTTATAAGCCGTCTAGAAGCGGCAAGCAAAACCAGCTACGTTAACTATAGTCAGTGTTTTATTCCGAGCGCAAAGTTTGATAGAAATAATCTACGACCATACAGTTCATAGTTAATGCGCTACCGGCGCACTAGAAATTCAATAATTGCGAGCAAATGTTCCCCATACCGCAACTAAGAAGCGGTTGCCGCCACGCATGTACCTACCGCAGCTGTTAGCTATGTTGTGTGAATTTTCAGCTATGTTAGTAAGCTGTTTCTATGGTCAGCTGAGAAACAATAACCCACCTGTTCGAATATCATCTCTGGTCGCAAAACACATTTAGTTAGGCCGCTGTCAATGGAAGATTGTCTCATGGTATTCCGCAAGGTCATTAGCTCACCAAACGATCTGAAATCTTACAAGTAAAGGCTAGTGCACGACGAAGGCGCAGAAGCAGTATTAGTTGAGCGGTCGCGAACGCGGCGCGCTCGCGTTTCATCGTTGTAGACCCTGCTTCTCATGCGGCTAGTAAAGCTGCGTTCGCGTCCAAGGATATTGCGCCTTCGTCATGCAGTCTATATGCTCGCTTAGGTCATTAAGCTTCGCGTCTAAGACTTACTTCCAGTGCATGTATTGCGTTGGAACACGAATGGAAGCGATATCGTCAACCAGCAACGTTTCCATTAACATTAGTAACGGCGCCGTTCGCGGCAGAAGTTCCGGCTTCTGCGGAATAAGAAACTCGTCCAGATCTTGGAAGGCGACGAAACGCGACACGCCCATGTTGCGATATAAGCAGTCTAAAAAGAGATTTCAACTTTTGCAAACAAAGTAGTTGAGAGAATTGTTGTGCTGTAGCGATCTAGTCTCGAGCAAAGGCGGACTGCTAATGTCTTGAAGCGGGCACAAACGCCGCCTAGAGCCTCAGGCAATCCGCAAAATACTTCCGGAGAAAACTGAACTTCTAAAACTTCCAGGGCGGACCCCCGTCCTACCTGACCGCTCCCCATCTGGCAGCTCCAATGGGAGTGTCCCTCGGAAGTTTTATGTTTGGTTTTCCCGGAAGTATTTTGCTGTTTTCTCACTTTGGAGCGATTTGCAGAGGCTTACATCTGTTTCTGTCCTCAGACCGCGCTCGCATGCGCTTCGATAAGGGCATCCGCCTTCGCCTGGGATCAAACCAAAGTATAGGCTGCTGCATGACGAAGGTGCAGTATTGAGTGCGAATGCGGTTTCTTTAACCGCAGAGCGCATGGGGCGCAGGATTTACAACAGTGAGGATACGCGCGCGCAGCTCAACTAATACTGCTTTTGCGCCTTCGTCATGCAGCAGCCTTTACAGGCTTAACCTGACCAAACATCACCTGTAACTGCAACGAGCTGTCCATGATACCATATCTGATCATCCCTCAGAGGTATAGGAAGATGGATCACCTCTAGGAAACTGAATTCTCTCAAATTGTTGTAAATTAAGAGGAAAATTGTTATTGTACTTTGATTTTTTGTAGAACGCAATCGCTTCTGAAAGATGAGTAAAAGCTTCCGTTTCGTTTATGTAGACAACAACATGATCGACGCCAAGGATTCGGTTGAGTTCCATAAACTACAAAAGCATTTGGAATTGCGCAAATTCATTTCAAAAGTCAAACCTCGACGAGTAATTCCGTAGTATATAGGTCACCGAAAAAATACGGTAGGCATATGGTCAGCTTATGTTCGTAGTTCTTTATTTTGTATTTTTTCGGAATGTTGTATATCACTGGAGCATCGACCCATGTGGAATTTCCTTGCGTAAACTGCAACAGTTGAGATATTGATGCAGAACCAAACTTTATTGAGGGCGCCGTCCACTCAAATTGAGGTTGGTGAAATTTCATGTGTACTTATAACAGGGGGCACCTAACTAATAATCGCCAAGTCCCGCTGTAAAAGATGAATTCATTCCAAAGAAAATCGCTTTAGAATGTAGAAGGGCCCAGGTGGCTCCGCCCATTCGCGTGGGTGACTTGAAGATAAAAAGATTGAAGTCCAGCTCTACAGTATCTAGAAATGTCGTAAATCCGCCCCTGATTATGATTATTAGATTTTAGGCACTTCTATTACCTGCGCGAAGCCACTTTCGAGCTTGTTATGCACAGACCACCCAAATGACTGTGTCGCTTTTACCTTTTCGGGCGATTTTTCGCCCCAAGATTCATGTTTTGCAGCGGGAGTTGGCCAACTTTTTAGTTAATGACCCCGCTAACATATAGCATGGAACTTCGGAATTTTCAGTTTGGGAAGGACGGTGCCTACAGGACTTTTTCGAAGTTGATTAGAAAAGCTGTTGATGAATGGTACAAGAGGAGATTTTTCCAGATTTTACGCTACCGAAAGTCCTCTGCAGCGTTTTCGACAGCAAAAAATGGGAGTGGGGTGCCTAGTAAGCGGAGGATGCCACTACGTGCAAAACGCAAGCTACCTGGGGTCCCCCCCCTCAATTCACGTCGTTGGCATTTTCGGCATCTTCGTCTTCCGCACCACACATTGGATCTTGACGTAAACAACACTCTGTAGTGCTGTGTTAGTGGGCGGTGCTTCAGGTTATCTTGTGCACGTTTGTTCACCACTTCGCGTTCCCCTGTTTCACCCGTACAGAATATTCAGAGTATTTACAAACTCTCACCTTGACAAAACTCCCGACAGTCTCATTTTTCGGAATTTTGCAGTTTATAAAGTAAGTTCCAAACGGCATCGCATGGTTTTCCGCCATTTCGTACGGTTTCTCCGCATCGACTATAGTTCCTCCGGGAAATCGGCATTTGTAATCAGACTTGGTGTTCTTCCAAGCGACAACTAACACACGCACGCGATTCGAGCCCATGTTTCCATTGCGTCCATCGCTTATGGCATACAACGCGTAAACATGCTCGTTGACTTCAGTGAAGTTCAGGGGATCGTTGAGCTTCTTCTTCGCAAGTTGTACGGGAAACTCTCTGCAAAATATAGGATGATCGATGAATGAGTTGCATCTTTAATTCTGATACATATGATTTTGTCAATGTCTCTTATGAGTGCGTTCGCAGCTACCAGTTTCTCACATGTTGTTTCTCCCATAATAGGATGATTTGAAAGCTTTTACTTTCCGAGAATACTTGAATGAGCATAACGCGTTTACAGGGCTTATCAAACGAAGTGTCGCTTGCCCCAGAATCTTCACTCCCGCGCTGGACTCTGCGTCTCTTCTGCGGAAATGCACCCTAGTCACTCCCAATCAATTAAGGCTCCGCCTTTCCCAGCTCGCCCTGGGAAAGTACTTAGACAGTATGTTCCGCAGAAGAGACGCAGAGTCCAGGGCGGGAGTGAAGATGCTGGAACAAGCGACACTTCATTTGATAACCCCTGTGAGTGCCTCTTTCATGAAATACCTGTTTAGGAAGTGTTTGGACCTATGCCACCTGAAGAGCGGTGGGAATGACGAGTGCGAGGGCTTTATGGTTGCATTCCTGGCAAAGATGTGGATTTCTAACCTACCCCAGGAAGAAAATTATGCCACAAATATTTGAAATTGGTGGGGTAGGTGATTTGCAGAGCGTTTGAATTTGGAGCAGTTTGATGATTGAACCGTCAGCGCTATTCGATTCGGGCCCCAAAATTTGTTTGTCGTGAAATCTGCCCAAACTCGGTGCATGGGGTTATTCGAACCACTGTCGCCGAATATCATGTTTATTTCTAGCGATAGCCCATTTTTGGGGGTTACTGTGGGTATACGGTAAGGGGCCAAAATCAGAAATTTCGCTGAAACTTGGCTCAGGGGGTCTACTCGACATGATGTAAGTTCCAGAAAGCGCTGCGCAATGCTTACACCCGTATTTCTTACATTAGGATATATAACATTTCCGCTCAATATAATGTGCTTACACCGCAGGTGTAAGCACATTATATTGAGAAAAACTTGGGCGTGAACGAGTAGCTCGATAATGGGTCGCGAAATTTTTGAAAGTTACTTAAATGTATTATAAAAATGTGCAGAGGACTTGTTTTTACTTGTAATTAATTAAAATAATTTTTCAAATTTTTTAAAAACCAAAATTAGCCTTGTGAAAATAATTTTTTGGGGGCGTGGCTGCCGCCACGCTCCCTTCTTCTGAAATTTTGGGGTCAGGGGCCCAGAAAAATTTTGGGAAACATCCCAAAAAAATTTTCGGAGCGCGTGGCTGACGCCACGCACCTTGTCTAGAAAAAAAAAATTTGTCGCCCCCCCTCCCCGAGCCGAAATCCTGGGTACGCCACTGTGTAGTAGATACACTATATTGCGCGGGAAATCTACTCGACTGTACCAAACGCTTCTTGTACATTTTGGGCGTTTTCAGTACATTTTTTCTTTCTATAACATTGCTTACCCGTTCATTCTCTCATGTCGCTTCTCTTTGTGATGAGAAACGTAGAACATGAAACAGAAATAAAGAATGAGGACTGTAGCTTCATGTATCCATGAAAGATATGTTCAACAAATTTCTACGGAGTAAATGGCTGTAGAACTACGCAGCAGCTGTCTGGGACGCAGCAAGTGGGTTTGAACAGTAATAACGAGGAGGAAAAGAATGCGCGTACGGACACATTTTCACGATTGCATGGAGCTGAACATCACTTATTCTTCAATATTACTTTAAGTTTGAAGTTTTCCCATCAGTGTCGTCAAAACGAAATTATGAACGTATTCTGAGGTTGCGAATGGTACGCCCAAGGATGCGCTGGAGTGAGGCACGAGTAACGTGACCTCTATCTTCCCGAGTTTCAGGAGTTGTGCCCTTATCTACCCTGTTCTCTTCAAGCGAAGATTATGCGGAAGAAGGGCACTGATAAGCGATGTAACGCGCACAGTACAGTGAAAGTGAATGACTCTAATTCTATGCCACGTCATCGATCTTACCGAGACGACGCTGCTTACAGTTCAGATCCGTGTGCAGTCAGCCTTGAGATACAGGCGAGTCTTGTACTGCGTGTCCATTCCCCCCCCCCCCCCTCCCCCCTTCTATCCTCACTATGGGAACTTGCAACAAAAGTATCTTCATTGTCGCACTGTCGAACTGTAGAGGAGTTTTTAGCAGCAACAGTAGGGAAACTGTCAATAAGCCTTCTTCTATGAAGAATGTCTTCTTCTCGCATATGCTGAATGAGGACCACTCAGACAGTCGAAGGGATACCTCCGGGAGACACCGGAAGTCTGCCACTTCATTGCTCCGGAGCCCTCTCATTTCACGCGTTTTGGTGCTCCGAGGCTCCTCCAAATCTGGCGCACTGTCGGAACAGAGATTTGCGAGCACCGGGGAGGGGTCCTATTCGCCTTCTTGTGACGTCACCGTAACGTCACGAGAAGAAAGAATGGGACCCCTTTCTGGTGCTCGCAAATCTCTGCTCCGGGGGTGTGTCAGATTTGGAGGAGCCCCGGAGCACCAAAACGCGTGAACGTGGGAGGGCTCCGTAGCAATGAAGTGACAGACCCCCGGCATTTGCCCCGCGGAGGTATCCCTTCGACTGTCTGAGCAGCAGTCCGCGAAGCGCTGCTGAGTCTTACGCTCTTCATTGTCCGGTCTGAGCGATGTTATGGCGCAAATTTCAGAAACAAAGAGCGGAGAATTTTTCATTTTTCTTTGACAAAACTTTGAGAAGGGGTGACGTCAGAAAAAATTATTACGTCCACCATACTTTTTCTTAGAAGATGTTCAGTGATTAATTCATGTTGCTTTCGTCATAAATTCGTAGTCAAATCATTCTCTTTTCCCTCCATCATCTACCAACACCTCGTATTGATATGTTGGAATGACTGTTCCCAAGGAATTCAAAGCAGTCCCTAACAAGGCCCCGACGCACCCACGCAGCTGGCGATCAGGCAGGAATTCGTAAAAATCGAAGGTAGCAGAGGCAAAGACCACCTTCGTGCCGGACCCTGCTCAGTTCGATGTTCTGCACATAGTTTAGCGTGCCGTTTTAGAGCTGGAGTTAGGGCAGTCAAAATCACAATTACTTGGTGTCAAAACTTAACTTCAACAGCTTTATATGCATTTTCTTCTGGCTCTTTGCTCAAATTTTCATGCTCATTTTTTCACTTATGCTCAGGGTTCATCAAACAAGGAAAAAGAAAAAACTTGAACAGCCTAATAAAATATAATACCCCTTGCCCAACACTTTAAGATAAACGGTGAACGTATAGGCGAACCAAAACCCAAGGCCCACTAGGATATACCGATAGCCTTTTGACGAATATCGATGAGACTACGCGTATTGCTTTAAGAAAAAAAGCGACTCTAAAAACGACCTTATCGACTCAATTAAAAAGATTTTGGCAATGAATATCTAATGTTTACAAAAGTAGTCTTATTCTGGTTGGCTCTTATGAAAGAAGTGTTCTTATCGCTTTACAGTTGATATTATAATTTTGATCATTACAAAGTTTGCGCAGATAACTTTTTGTTGAACAAAAGTGTTGGAAATGAGTAGTTAATTTGCTGGGCAGGTGGTCTGATGTTATGTGCTTGCAGTGATATAATATGACACCTAGCGCCGAAATTGTTTGAGTTTGAGAAAACCCTCTACATAGTCTGGGTAGAAATTTTTCACGCTTGGCTATCGCCTTTTATCTATCATGCCATAATGTGTAAGCATGTTACCTTAGCAGCATGAAAGGTTTCAAGAAACCTATGGGGAATTATAGAGACAAAATCTCAAAGAAGTACTAGCTTATGCAAAAATTTGCTGTGCATTGGGAACGCGAAATTGCAATTAAATATTCCGAGTATGTTTATTGACAATGAGCGAGCGACAGCACAAATTCAACAAAGAATCTTTGAGCTGTAAAGATGCATTTTTTACCAAATTTATTCGGTGCGCTTCAAACAAAAGGTGAAGGACATATATTTTGAGTAAAAAGATAAGAATTCATGAGAAAGTTTTCGCAATTGGGACACACTGCTGTTTGATTTCCATTTATGAGAGTAAATAGGCTTTATTTTTGGAATGTACAATTTTTGCTGCATTTATCCCAACTCCATCAGAAAGTGCAGGGGCAGACTGAAAAGACAGTGCGTCAGCTTTAGCGAATAAGTGTAGGGGTTATGTAGGGGTTTTTTTTTCGAATGAAATTGGATCAAATATTATTCAATGAAAATATATGTAAGGCAATGGCGTATCGAGACTCCCCCTCCCCCGGCTCCTCGAGAATGGGTCGCAAAACTCTTTGAAACGTACATACATGAGTTACGGAAGTGCAAGTGAGTTGTTTACACCTTCTAATAATTAAAATTTTCATAAATGGAAATTCTAACCTCGTAAAAATGTTTAAGACGTGGCTGCCCCTTTTTTCTAGATTTTAGAAGTCTTTACACTTTCTAGTAATTAAAATTTTCATAAATGGAGATTCAAATTAACCTCGTAAAAATGTTTAAGGAGTGGCTGCCCCTTTTTCTAGATTTTAGAAGTCTTTACACTTTCTAGTAATTAAAATTTTCATAAATGGAGATTCAAATTAACCTCGTAAAAATGTTTAAGGCGTGGCTGCCCCTTTTTCTAGATTTTAGAAGTCATGGGCCCTCAGAAATTTTCGGAAACATATGAAAATTTTCGGAGTGCATAGTTCGCCAGTTCGTAGTGCGCCACGTACCTTTATTCGAAAAAAATTTTAGTACCCCTCTCCCCCCCCCCCCCCCCCCCCTCCCCCACTCGGCAAAAATCCTGGGTACGCTACTGATATAAGGAGGTACGTTGTGCTCTTCAAATGCAGTCATTTGGAAAAATGCCAATGCAATAATTTCAACAAGCTTCAGGACAGGAAGTAATGCTGTAGGGGTTTCACAGAGCAAAGAGATTTTACATACATGTGATGGAAGAAAATGTGGTTTGAATCAGAAGATTAGTTTGTTGTTTACGGTCAACGAGATGGAACATTACCCATTTTTTCACTTGAGAAAACCATCTGTTTTGTGTTTGACGAGAGTGTCAATACAAGATCAATAGTAGAGAGAGACTAAGGAAATTGTCTATTTTACTCCAGTTTGCTGAAATACCAAATTTTCCTTACAGAACATAATCATATCAAGAATATAAGCAGGATTGCTTGTATGGTGCCACTAAAGAGAAGTTATGCTTTTTTTCTGTTGAATCGGATTATGACTTTACAGCCAATCTTCCATCGTCTAAACTAATGAATTTGCGATACAAGTACTTCTAGTAGTAAAAGTATTTTTTTGAATAAAAATTTTGCAAAAGATATCGCAAACAAGTTCTTCCAAAATCACACCTCATATGACTCAGCGTAAGCGATAATCCAAAAATTTTATTTTGTGGACATAACTATCGAAAGTTGCAGTTGACCTTATCATACACGAATGCTTCTGAATTGAATTCTAGGTATGCAGCGTGAAATTTATGAACCATTAATGGAAATGTCCCTCTGCGTATGGGGCTTACTTGAATCATTTTGTGTATTTTTGTTTGCTTTAATTTGAAAAATGTTTAACACCTAATTCATAGCGCGATCTACATAATCCCAACACTGACTACGGCTTTTGGTGACTAATACTTAAGAGCTTTTTCAAAAGTGATGGGTTTCGCAATTTGCTGCAGCTCTGCAGATTCAATCTACTAGCTGGGGAATAAAAAGCACTTCCATATTCTACCAAGAATGCAAGTCGAGAGATGAGTCAGGATAGTCAATGTGAAAGAAGTGAATAAAACATAAAATTTGCAAACAAAATCTCACAGCTGCTCGTGTTTTGCGATGAGTCGTTGAATCGCGCAGCAGCCTGCGAGGAATGTGACGACGGCGATGACCGCGATGCGAGCAGTGAATCGCATCCGTATGCGACGACGGCGCGATGCTTGCCACGGCGACTGCGTTTTTCCCCAGATGGTGGGCGTTGTACACCCCATCTTCGGAGCAGCAGCTGATATCAGTGTCACTTATCGCGTCCGTTGCCAATCGTTCGATTATGGACGTGTGTAGAAAAGGCCGAGCTTTCATGCACCAATTTCTACGTAGCGAAAGCTATAGTCGCCTGAGGACTAACCAAGGCTGACAGACTGCCATAATCCTTTCGATGAAATGCTCATCATTAACGGACATCGCTGGCAGAAGAAGAACGGTTGACTGCCGGAAAAATAGTCCCATAGCTGTCGAGTTTAATGTTTATCTAAACGGCAACGGCATGTCAAGCCTTCTCTCTCCATATATTAATCGCTCATGTAAACATTGGTTTAGCATAACATCTCATACAAACTATCATGAGAATCTTCGCTCGCTAGCTTTTCCCTGAAAGAGACAGAAATATTTTCGAAGATTATTGGTCTCTATGCGGAAAAGAACGCGTCTGGAAATTTGTTGGGAATCCTTACATGGCTAAAGATGGACTCAGTCTCGTGCAGCTAGTTAGTGGAAGGCAAAAGGAAGGCTATACGTATATAAACTAATAGTTTTTAACGGTGAATATAATTATAGTTTTCTTGCGGTGCCGCATCTGGCGACAACATTTGCGCGTAAGCACATTGTCATGATGCGCAGAACTTGATTGTGAGCTCTACGACCACTTTGCGCGCACCGTTCGTAGGCATTACAGCGTTGTTCACGCGCAAATGTTGCCGGCAAATGTCGACACCGCAAGAGCATTATATCTATAGTCAGATCTATCGGCTTATATCTGACTGTGGGCGAAATATGGTGCGCCTTTCATCTCTACCTAGAAATGGTCCCAAAATGTTAGAAGTGGTAAAGAGCTACACAAATAATTTGAACACTGACCATTTCAATAATGCCTGTGAAATCTTGTATATCTCAATTTCCAATAAAGTTTTAGAAGGGCACGGCAGAAACTATGACACCCCTAGAAGAACTTTTTTCGCACCTCACCCCTCCTCAGCCGAAGGAAATCATTGCGACGCCATTGGTATTTCAATGCTTTAGCCATTAGACTTACGTTGTATGCTGCTAATATTCAGGGTCAAAGCATGCACTACAAGCCAGAATTTGGGGAACATGAAGGTATGGAAAAGTTCAAGCTGTATCTGACAATGAGATCTAGGCTCATCCACTAGGATGGAAGTGACACAAGGAACCCGTAAGCCCTCATTACAACTTTTTTTGTTCTGTCATCAATTTTCTGCAGAGGAGACACAGAGAAATTATCGCTATTAAGAGAATGCCGATAAGGGAGAGAAAAAACTATGCGCAGTAAGTTGCTGTCTTTTATGGCTGAGTGGCCAATTGAGCTCACATCCCCGAAGAAACTGTGATTCCACAAGTGAGTCATACATCTTACTCGGTTTTTTAGCGGTGAGCTTCCAATGTGAGCCGCATTCTGAAGCCTAGATTCTTACAAGCGATGAAGATGCTTTGTCTGACAAAGACTATGATTAGCTCAGACAATCGACCGGACCCCTCTGCCGGACAGTCGGAATCTGCCAGAGTCGCGCCGGACCCAGTTGACCAATGAGAGCGGGGCGATTGGGCGGTCCCTTTTTGTAGGTCGCGGTGACATCACTGGCAGGCAAGTGGGACCCTTCTCCGGCCCTGTTGCAAAGGTACGCCATTTCTGCTCCGGAGGTACGCCAGATTTGGCAGAGCCGCGCCGGAGAAATTTGCCCGCTGCGAGTCCGCCAGATTTGGAAGAGCCGCGGAGCAGAAAATCGGAGGGGTCCGGAGCACAAATGGGAGGTCTCCGGAGCACAAAATGGGAGGGCTCCGGGGCACAAAATGGGAGGGCTCCGGGGCACAAAATGGGAGGGCTCCGGAGCAGAAATGGGAGGGCTCCGGAGCAGAAAATGGGAGGTATCCGGGAAAGAAAATGGGAGGTATCCGGAGCAGAAAATGGGAGGTTTCCGGAGCAGAAATGGGAGGTCTCCGGAGCAGAAATGGGAGGGCTCCGGAGCAGGAGTGGCAGACACCCCGCTGAGGAAACTCTGCGGCCCTGCCATTCCTCCGCCGGAGGGGTCCTATCCGCTTCTGAGAGAGATTCAAAGGCAGCCAGGCAGGTCTGGACACATGGGGATCTCACGTGTATACATTTTGGGGTCTTAACTAAGCCACTGCCCAAGCGGCAGCTGAGGTAGTGCTCTAACTGCTGAGATATTCCCCTCGAAACTGGACCCCGCGATCGTATTCCGCATGGATTCATAGCGTAAAGCGTGGATCCTGGCGCGAAACTGCCATGAATTCATGCAAATACGATCGCGGGGGCCAGTTTTCAGGGGAATATTTCAGCCGTTAGAGCACTACCTGAACTGACGCTTGGGCAGTGCCTCAGTTAGGGCCCCAAAAGTACTTTCCACGTAAAATCCCCATAGTTCCTGATCTGCCTGGACGCTGCCTTTAAGGATTCCGTTCCTGTAGCGCAATAGAAAACAGCAACTTGGCTGTGACGGTGTTACGAGCAGCTTTAGCGGAACTCAGAGCTGTAGCCGCGTTTGGTAAGATTTGAAACAAACGCGTGCTATATGCACGTGATGTTTAAAACATTAGAGCCACTTTCCGTAAAACGACTCGTTCTGGGTACGGGTTGGTCATGTTATGTTTTTACGGCTCAAGCAACAGCTTTTATATCTCTTCAATTACCCGGTTTCGTACTCCTGAACTGATCAATCATCGTTTACAAGTACAGTAAGGGCTGAAGTCCAGTTTACCCTAATTTCACATGTACAAGGCGCGGGGGAATTTCTTCTAAAATCGCCCAGCCCACACACGTCAACGGACTTCGTGATCAAAGGATCCTATACTGCGCTGCATAGCGCCTGAGAATCGTGCGGCATAAAGATCCATTTCGAAATAGTGAAGCGGCTGGGGAGCTCGCTCAAAAAATCAAAAAAGGTGCGCCTTGTACGCGTGAAATTAGGGTAAATTCTCTTGTCGCGATTGGAACATATGAGATGTAGCCTGCTGAATATACCAATTCTGCCTTTCCAATCAAATTCCGCATAAAATATCCATGTACAGTAATTCCGCTAGACATTACCTTTCATAGGTCTCATGATATGTTAATAAGCAGATGTAGCTCTTCAAGTAACATAGAAACGATCAATGGTAACAATCCGTTTTACCTCAATTTCACGCACTTTATAAGGCGCACTTTTTCGAATTTTCAAGCGAGCCGCTCAGCCGCTTCACTTCATTCCGGAAAGAAATGCTTACATCGCACGATTCTCTCAAGCAATAGACAGCACGTTATAGGGTCCTTTGGTTGTAAAGTCCTTTGGCGTGTCTGGGCTGGTCGATTTTGGAAAAAATTACCCCGCGCCTTATACGCGTGAAATTAGGGTACTTGATACTACTAAATCCAGCTACCAGGAGTAATAGAGAAAACTAAGAAATCCTAGTAGCTTTCGAACAATAAATTATTGTCAGCAAAAGTCGACAGAAAAGTGCCCAGTCAATCCACCCAGCAGGGAAACCTTAAGCGAGACTAAAAAACGAAAACTGACTGCTCACTCCATTATTTCTAATGAATGAAGGCAAAGAACATATTATCCCGCTGTGAAAAAGTTTTGCCAAACCATAGCCGGTTATCCTAACGACAACAAAGGTACCGACGGCCCGCGGTAATCCAGTCAAACGTTTAGGAGGCCCTAGCAGATGTGATGCTCTCTCAGATAATACAAGCATTGTCTTTCCTGCAAAAAGAAGTTATGCAAGACCTACATTGTTGTCAGACCTACACAGGCCCATAGCCACACTTTGCCAACACAAATGTTTTCACTTACATTTCAGCCTGCCTTCTTCATACTGAAATATACCAATCATTGGTGATTTGGTTCAGTTGTACGAACACCACTCTGTTTAGGGTTCGAAAATAGCTCGAAAACTAAAATTTTAGGTCGGTTCGGAAGCTCCTTGCCAGTTTTTCTAAGAATCATTCTCACAATCTATAACTTTTTTGCACCTCAATGTAAATTCAAATTATTTTTGTATTAGGCCAGAAAGCATTCCTTTACAGTAGCACTATGAGAACGGAGATGGAAGCGTGTCGTGCGAAGATTCACATCGGCTCGAATAAAACGGTGGTCGCTCCCCGCGTTAAACCTATTCAGAACAGCAACATTAGTTATGACCCGTGGTTGGCGCGTCAATACATAGTCGATTTTTCGAAAACACTTCCACTAGGAGAGCGCCAAGTCCACCGTCTCCTTTCAGGCTTTTGGAAAAAGGTATTCATTTTATAAAACCTTTCCGATTCCGCAAATTCTACTAACGCTTGCCCTTTGCTGTTTCGTGATCCGTAGCATTGCTGACCCACAAACTCAGATCGCATTCTTTCTCCTCCTACACGTGCGTTGAAATCGCCAATCAAAATGTCGTGTACATAACGCCCTTGTGATATCGCGATGTGGAGCTCATCGAGAAATTCTTCGTACTCTTCCTCTTGCCAGGGGGCGTATGCTACAGTTACTCGTAACGATTTCCCGTGCAGAACGAAATGAATTTGTAGTAAACGGTCGGAGAGGAACTTTAGGCCTGCGCAATGCCGATGTAATCGCTCATTTACAAGTGCCCCAACTCCCCTGCAAGTAACTTCTCCTTCCGTTCGCCCGCTGTTGTAAATGTAATTTAGAAGACATGCGCTTTGCATGAAAGTTGCCGCTGCTGTGTGTTTCGCAAAGGCCAACGAAATCAAATTTTATCAATTTCAATTCTTCCTCAAGCGCTGTCAGTCTTTCCTCAGATGACAACGAACGGATATTCAAAAAACATACTTAAATCTGCTCTCGGCGTCTCTGGATCCTGCTCTTCTTGACTTCAATGGATGCCATACGGTGGGCCAGCCACGGCTTCTTCCACCGGATGCTTCTCTCCTATCCTTCTCTGGATTCTTCTATCCTTCTTCTAAGATATATGCCAGAGCCACAGAACAGCCGACTGTTCAAGGGGAGCTGGGGGAGGGAAGTGGCGTACAAATTAGTATGAGGAAATTTGAGAATTGGAAGCTCCATCAATTGAAACGAGAAAGTTCGCGAGTCAGACGCAAATGAACGATTATACCAGTCTTGCG